TTTAGATGGAGAGAAAAGTCTACCAGAGATGGGTTAACTGGAATGAGATCGAATGAGGGCTTACAATGTGGGGTTTAACGGTGAGTCAAAGAGTCAGTTCTTGCAGCATAAGAAAGACAGTAAGACAGAGTAAGACATATTAGATAAAACAAAATTGAACATACCTTCAGAAATCGATAGCTTTGAATGAACGATCTCCATGAGTTTTGGTTGACTTCAAATTAAAAAACTTGTGTACTCTGGTAATCGCGCTGTTCACTAAAATCGTAAGGCTGATGAATTGAGAATGATCTTCAAAATTTGATTATGAGATCATTGAGGTATCTGTTAGGAGCAATAATGAGTAAATTGAAAATAATCATCCCGAGGCCGAAAGTTTGGGTAGTCAAAACTTGGATTTGTTCAGCTAAAAGAGTGGGCGTTTTGGAAACTTTGTCAATTTTGTCTGAATTCACTGTTCGCATTCAACTTGAAAATGCAATGATGATGATGATTCATATATGAGTCCTATCCTACAACATCAGAAGACTAACAAAACATAAAAAGGGTTATACATAGTTCCTAAACCATAAGGATAGGAGATAATTGAAGCGACCTGCTTACAACTGATTCGATTTTAGATCAATTGATGATTTGACTTGAAATTGACCTATAACAAAGCTTCCAGTAAGATGGTGAAAGAGACGAATTACATATCAGTAAGATTATATAATGCTAGTGGGCCTAAAAGCGACTTAACTTAAATCAAGTCGGAACTGATCAGTAAAGGACAAACAACCCACCCTGATCCAATGAATAAGAATGAGGAAGATCCGAAACCGAAATGAAAAGGTGGATAGTGGATCTAAACTGTAATAGAACAAAATGAACACAGGAGGTGCACAAAAAAGATCCTTGCCTGAGTTTGATCACTTGGCTATATGTGATTATGGGAAACTAAAGTAGCAACAGAAATTGAAATAAGACCAGATATCAATTAGTGAGGATGATTTAAACTGTCAAGAGGCTATGAGCGACTTGTATCGAGGCAGAACCAATGACAGATGAAATAAAAACTCACCTAAAAACAATTTTTTCTCTTCTATCTACTCTGATTTTGGTCACTACTATACAAAAGCTCAACATGAGGCAAACTTTGAAAGCTATGAATCAAATTTTCAACTCATTGGGGTCAGCTCGAGGTAATAAGGTGATTGTGTTCACTTCAGTTCGATTCAATCTAGCAAACTCGAAAGAAACATATTGTTGATTTCTGATCTGCAAATTCAAGAGGATTGATGCATTCGGGCGCTACGCCGAGTGTTTCAATGGGCCGGATGAGGTAACGTAGCTTTGTAGGGGTGGGGGTTTTGGTCTATTAAAGTAATCAGTACACTTCTTATTGCCGAAGTTCGAAGAGTAAACTTACAATCGGATTGAGATGAAGATGTAACACGCTGATGACTGTAGTGGCAAGAGCGACTTTACCTTGGAGTCAACTTCGTGTCTTGATTCGCCGACTTCCTGATCAATTTAACGGATTTGCTAATATGCTGATAACGGAGCAACCACTAAGGGGGTTAGTGGTGAATGATTTGATTAGTATGGAACAGTATCATGAGCAACGTACCATGCTTGAACCACCAAGTATTGCAATCGTCAAGTGATTGGGAGATATGTAGAAAATCAGAAAATCATACGTAAATATCGCTAGTTCGGAACTTGAGCTGATAGGAAGTTGAAGTGGTCCAGCTGGAGAATAAGGAGCTAAATCGTTGATCCTTTTAGTGGCAAATAAGTTCGTCACCGAGCAGGGAGGAAAACACATACAATCCACTATGTTTGTTGGATATCAGTGAATCTTCAGTTGGTTGAAGACTATGTGGCAAATCGAGAACAAAGGTCGCTAGCACGTAAATTCGGCTGGTAGAAACTTGGTTTTGTCAGGCTTCAGAGTAGGCAACGGAGGCAATTTATCGATTTTGTTCGGCAATTCATCGATTTTATTTAACCTCTAGTGTGCTGTTAACT